CCGCCCCCCGCCGAATTCACTGCCCCAACAAACGCCGTTTTCCAACTTTTTAGCGGTTTCTTTGTTTCTTTAGCAAACAGAAGTCCCGGGAAAGAGGGGATGGGGGGGATCTGCACCTCCCCCCGGGTGACCCCGGCACCGGGCAGAGGTGGCACCGCGACAGTGCCACGGGGCGTGTCTGTCCACGCGGGTGGCTGTGGCCGTCCGGCGTCCCCTCAGGTGTCCAGCAGGTCCCACACGGCCGGGTGGGCTCCGTCCCTGGGCCGCCGGCCCCTGGCATCGCGGAGAGCGGCGAGGGCCGGCCGGTGCCGCAGCAGCAGCGCGCAGAGCTCGCGGTGTCCCTGCTCGGCGGCCTGGGGACACCTCGGTCACCCCGGGGGACACCTCGGTCACCCCGGGGACAGGACAGCCCCGAACCCCCCCGAACACACACCTTGAGGGAGGAGAACCCCCGTGCCCCCCACCCATTTGGGGAGGGGGAACCCCCTGTGCCCCCCACTCACTTTGGAGAGGGGAGATCCCCATGTGCCCCCATCCAACCCTGGGCAGGGGGATCCCCCTGTGCCCTCCACCCACTTTGGGGAGAGAGATCCCCTCGTGCCCCCCACCCACCTCGAGCAGTGCCATGAACAGGCGGGACCCCCCGAGCCCCCCACCCACTTCATTCAGTGGCACAGAAAGGGCGCTCCCTGTGCCCCCCACCCACCTGGCACAGGCTGATGTGGGATGGGGTCCCTCCATGTCCCTCCCTCCCCCCGTGTCCCCCTGCCCCCGTGTCCCCCACCTTGTGCAGGCCGCTTCTGCCGTCGCTGTCGGTGGCCGCGGGGTCAGCGCCGCTCGCCAGCAGCAGCTCGGTGACAGCCAGGTGGCCGCAGTAGCAGGCGCGGTGCAGCGGGGTGGCCCCGCCGGGGGTCCGGGCGTCGCACGGAGCGCCCCGCTCCAGCAGCAGCCGGCACACGCCCAGGTGCCCGTTCCGGCTGGCGTAGTGCTGGGAGGATGGACGGGTGGGCAAGGGCTCCGGGACCCTCGGGACCCCCGGGATCCCCGTGACATGGCCGGGTACCCAACGGGTCAGGACCTCCGGGACCCCCGGACCCAGCCGCGTATTCCCCGGGACCCCCGTGCCCCACGTGTCAGAGCCGTGTACCCGCCAGGCTGAGACCCCAGGGACCCCCGTACCAGGGCCAGGTACCCCACCAGAGTGGGATCCCCGTGCACCCCGTGCCCCCCGTACCAGGGCCGTGTACCCGCCAGGTCAGGATCCCGGTGCTCCCCGTTCCCCCCGTACCAGGGCCGTGTACCCCGCCAGGTCGGGCTCCGCGGGGTCCCCGCTCCGCTCCAGCAACTGCAGCACCCGCGCCTCGTCCCCGTCCCGCGCCGCCGCCCAGATCCCTGCGGGCAGCGGGGCCGGCTCAGGCAGGGACTGACCCCTCGGTGCCCCTCCGGTACCGGTACCG